TCTTCTCTCTCTCTCTCTCTCTCTTCTCTCTCTCTCTTTTCTCTCTTCTTTTTTATTCTCTTCAAAGGAATATCGATAAACCGTGGTCGTTTGGGATGAGATGTCTTGGTGCTCGTAATTAAAAAGGAATTAATTTTAAGACAAGCTGATATATATAAGAAGAAAGTCTAACTGGAAGGATTTACGATATCTTTGCGCATAATTAAACGTAGATCAGAGAATAGAGACGAGAGTAGAAAAGGCGTTGGTGAGAGGAATTGTAGAAAAAAGTGTTTGAAGAAATTGCTAAAGTACACAAATTTGTATAAATAATGAAATTACTGTTTATACAATTTTTGTATATTTAAACAATTTTGTATAATTATTGTACAATAAATTTGAGGTTACGAAAATAAGAAATTAAACGTGAATAAATTTCTTTCTCTCTCTCTCTCTTTTTTTTTTCGAAACATTTTTACGCTTAAACATTTCTTTCGTTGCCTTCAAAAGTATCAAATTGAGAGAACAGCAATCGATCGAAAAACCGAAAGATCACAAAAATTTGAAAAATATCTTTACGCTTTATCATGCTTATCATCTCTTCTTCGTTTCAAAATTAATCGCATACCTGTGTGCAAGAGGCGTCACCGGAAATCGAGAAGTGGAGAGATCTCTGAGCGACCAGCAACAAGTTGCGAAGGCAGCGACGTACCAGTAGGTTTCTTCCTACGCGTAGACGCGTAAAATTTTTCATTCGCCAAGTGCTCTCTCTCTCTCTCTCTCTCTCTTTCTTCTCTCCTTTCCTTTTCTTTCTCTATCTTTCTGCCTATTTCTCCCTTCACTTTCGCGATTCTCGAAAAACGATCGAGACCACTTCGTCTGACAGCGTGGTGCAACAGGTAGACACTTAGTATCCTTCTACGAAGCAGAATTAATTTCCCTGACTCGATGCGCGTTCATATTAGAACGAAACGTGTGGAACAACAACGTGTGAATCATCTATTGAAAATTTTTTTAACGTCGAACATATTAGTGTTAATTTTTGATCTCTTCCTTTTTCAGTAAAAAGAGTCAATAAAAAAAAAAAAAAAAAAAATGGAACAAGAGGAAAATACGATTTCGATCTCGTAATTTCAGAATACCTGAGTTTCGTTTCTTCCTGGTTGAAATTATTAATCGAGAAAATTAAGAAAATTGGAAAATTTGATCTTTGGAATTTTAGGTTTTCCTCTTTTGAATTGACAACGTTCCGTGTATTATTAGGACCAATTCAATTTTCGCTTCGATGAAAATAATCAAAGGATAAAATCAAAGGAAGTCGGCGGGAATTATATTAATTCTGATATTACGTCCCGAGATTTCTAATGGATGAATAGTTCTCTTTTAATTAAAATGTTGGGCAAATTGAGAGGGGATTTTTCTTTGCTTCGACGAAGGTAATCAAGAGAGGTAGAATTAGGGGGATGAAAATTTGTTGACTTCGTTGCACCATTTCCATAACTTTTCTCTCTTCATCAAAATAACCCCTTTTTCTATTTATTTATTTATTTCTTAGGGCACACGGACTTGGAGAAAATTAATTCCTGACGAATTTCTTCGCGATCTAATTTTTCTTACCAAAAAAAAAAAAAAAGAAAAGAAAAGAAAATTCTTGGAAAAATAAAAATCGATCGAGAAGAATCAACTGCGACCTCTTTTCGCGATCTCGTCATATGTTCCATCTTCACGTTTAACGTGAATAATTCCTCCTCAAGCGTAGAATAATTAGATAGAATAAAAAAAGAAAAATTATATAATTTTCTTCTACGTGGAATCACAATTGTTAAACTTCTGCAAGATCGAGAAGAGGGACTGGAAAGATCACTTTATCCCAAATAATTTCCATATCACATTTACAACTTGAATTGAAAGAATATCGAGCGCACTAATAACCTTTAAACGAAGGGTATGATGACGAATTGCACCGTGGCGGATAAATACGTTTAAAAATGAGAGCAACGAGTATGCTTTATCGTGCATACGAGGCCGATATGGAACGATGGAGGGGGGAGAGGGGAAGGGAAGGGGGAAAAAAGAGGCGTTGTAATCCTGTACAGTGGGTACGTTTCTGCACAAGGTTTGCTTGTCCATAGACAGGAATGACAATGTTCAATATGTCGGTAAAGCAATTTCCTATAAAAGCAGCGTGCAACAGGTAGAGAACGTCGCCTAAACCACGAATTGTGTCACATTGAAATTTCTCGATCAAACGGATACACTTGGATTCTGCACTTTGCTTTATTCATCTTGTCGTCATATGCACCTCGTTAAATCCACGGATCGATTGAAGATTGACGATTGAAGAGATTCTATCTTCAGTGAGAGCAATAATATAAAAATAGAAAAAAAAAAAAAAATTGAATATTATTAACATCGGTCTTTAGAATTTTAATAAATGGAATCGAATGAAACAGTTTTAGATACTTTTTAATTCAATTAATCATTCATGGTTAAAATTGTTATAAAGAAAATGAAAATATCAAAGAGGAAGGAAAAAAACTATAATTTTCTTTTTACAATTTTCCAGAAATACTTTTAAAAGTATTCCACTTTTCATTAAGAAGAATTAAGTAATTAAGAACGCCCTTCAAAAGTTTCTTTCCACTTCAAATTTCCTTTTCCTCCTCGATGAACTGTGTAATTAGATCTCGTTAAAATTTTCTAATGATAGGGTGTACAGCAACCGATGATTAACGACGTGAATCACAGCGATCGAGGACGAAACGTGCCCTGTCCGCTACGCAGCAAGTGAAACGAGTCAGCCAGTGGTCAGACCGAGAACCGTGTTCCCACATTTCGTATCGATTTTTCGCGAGAAGTGGATAACCCGGTTTTTAGCGCACGCTTTATACACGCTTTTAACAAATAACCAGTCACACCGGCGTCCAGAAATTTTTGTAATTGGAAACGATGTTTTTCGAAAGAAGAAATCGATTATTTCTCGAGTTCTTCGAGAGAAGCATTTTAGAATTTTTTGAGAATCAATTTAAATTCCGTTTAATCGAGAAAATTTTTTATTTAAAAAACTTACTTTAGATCTCTTTTGATCAAAAATTCTTTTAGCAATGAGGAATTTTTTCCAAATCGATTTCAAATCTTTTTTAATTAAAGAACTTACAATATGGATGAATTCTCTTGTGAAATGTATTTCTCGAAATTTTAAATTTGAACGAAAGAAATCGAGATTTCAGTTCAGTTCCTTCTTTTAATCAACTTTATTCAAATTAATTTTGAAAACTTATAACGAGCGAGCCAATTCTATTAAAAAAATTTTCTTAATTAATTTCAAATCGAACCATTTTAAAATAAATTTATCCAGATCTTGTACAAAAACTTTCCGTTCGAACGAAAGAAAATTCCTTACTGTAAATCACTATATCAATTTTCATTTCGTCAATAATCGAGTAACAATTTCCAAAGTTCGAAGAATTTTTGGGGGAACGTGGCTTTCGAGAAGACAGTTTTCGAGGCTTGATCGAAGAGCACGCAACGATCCAAAAGCTTCGAAACGACGTTGGACCCTCCTCCATTCTTTCGACTTTCGACAAACCAGCCGTCCAATTTCACACAAAGTGTACCAACGACTTCCGATCACGCGATGTAACCGAGTATTCTACCCGATCCCGAAAGACCATCGAGAACAAGAGAATTCGAGAGAGAAATAGGCTGACCAAGATGAGGAGAGAGAGAGAGAAAAAAAGAGAGGAACAAAGAGATCGTAAAAAAACTTCGAAAAAAGATATATTCCATTTCCTTCGAGACGTCGAGTATCGTCGATCGCGATGTACATCGCGTTTCATTTTTTCACACCGACTCGCAACTGGCGCGATCAATTACACGCGTGGCCGTAACAAACTTCGTTAAACTTGACGGGAACTTTTTTGAATGGAAGAAAAGCAAAAAAAAANAAAAAAAAAAAAAAAAAGAAAAAGAAAGAAAGAAAGAAAAGAAAGAAAGTAAAAAAAAAAGTCAACGAAAATGTAAAATTAAAAAAATATTTTTAACAAGAAAGAAAGAAAAATTGTCAAGAAAGGAAATTTCTCAAAATATTCCGGTTATATAAAAGGTTATAAAAGAGGAAAAATATTAAAGAAACGCGTAGCGATTGCGGAGGTGTTAAAAGGACGTCGTATGCCTGTCTCTGTCTCCGTAGGTACTGAAGCGCAGTTCGATACTAAGAACGGTTATATTCCAACCCCTACCACGCCGTTCGAACCCTACGCATCGCAAGATGGCTGGCCATGTTTGCGAAATGGCGCTTGCGCGTGCGATTCCTGCCTGCCCCTCCCGTCTCTCTCCTCGTCCACCATTCCTTCCTTTTCCTACTCTCTTCTCGTCGTGGGATAGTGATGGGCCCGATCCGGGAGCTGGTCGCAATTTTTCATCGTTTGATTTGGTCGAGATTTTTAATCGTGAGTTATTAATCGGATATTTATAATTTTTAGTAAGGCAATTTTGGGATTTTTCAATTATAAGTTGAAAATTATTTCTAAATGTAATTATTACGTAATCAATACGCTTTGTATAAGAAATTTGTTCAAATTTTCAATTTTTCCATATATAATAATCTTTTGAACGAAATATTTAGCGAAATGTTCATTGCTCGACGAATTGATACGAAGGTAAAAAAGTTCGGGTTTAATGAAAAGATTCCGTTTATCTACGAAGAGAATTCAAGAATGCACTTGCTATTTCAGCTGAAAATATTTAGCGTAGAGGGTGTATAATTCTTGATCTCTCTGAAGAGAAACTTCTCAAGCGGGGCGCAATGACGAGAGCTTTACAAATTGCAAATTCAATGTGGTATATAAGAGAAATAGTAACCGTACATTTGAACACTTGATTCGTCCTCGATTTGAAGGTATTCAAATGCGAGGAAAATTCTGCTGCCTCGCGAGTAAAATCAATTAAAAAGTGGGACGACTGGAAGAATTAATCATCAAGTTGAAACATTTAATTTGAATAAATGCAAATTAATATTGTCCCTTCATGTCAATTCCTCCTCCGTTCCTGAAATAAATATTTTTCGATTTTCCATTAATAATAGTAATAATATTTATTGTTTTTAATTTAAAATTGATGAAAATTATTTTAAAGGGATCCGATCAAATAATTCAAATTTATATTACGAAATAAAAGAGTGTTAAACGCATCGTGTAAAAGGCAGAGTAAATTTTCAACCAATTTATTAGTTCATCTTTAACCTATAAATAATTAAATCCAAATTAAAATTTCATAATTAATGATGTTCTAATTTTGCAAACATAGCGTAATAAATTACCATGTAAATTCGTTATTACATATACATATCATACGAATACTAATAATATCATACGAATACTACTAAAGTTTATTTGCAACAGAATTTTCTAATCCGTAAAAAATTTTTAAAAGTAACAGTTATCGAAATTGAAGATATACATAGCATCGAATATTATAAACAAAAAATTCGAAAAAGAAAATATTTCGTTCCTTCTATGTTATATGTTTGTATTTGTGCTTTCATGAAAAATTTACCTAGTTTTGATCTAAATTGTCAGAGGCAAAAAAAAAAAAAAAAAAAGTAATAACAATTTAAACAAATACGTATCATTAAAGAAACATATAACATTGAATTTTTCTCAATCGATTAAATTTAAACGATTGATCCAAAGAAAAATAAGAAATGGATGACAAATCAGGAAGGAAAAAAAGAAATTAAAAAGTGACGCATGAAATTATCGATTTAAGGAATACGTATCGATACAATCTGAGTCACGTTCGGTCCCATCGCTAACAGAAACATCCCCCAGCTCTTCGTCGCTAGTTCACGCGACCATCTTCATCCCTCTCCCCTTTCATTTGATCATCTCGATCCCTTGCCTCGTCCCTGGACTATTCTCGCCTTTTCCTCCAATTCTTCGAACGGCCGATTTCCAACAACCCCCTCACCAATACCATCTCAACCACTTCCTCGCCCATGATTATTTCGCACTGTTATGAGAATGTCCTTTACTCGACCACTGA